GAAAGAGGAAGCCCGCCGCTCGACGTCTTTCTTTGGCCTTCGAAATCATTCCCAGAGAAGCTCGTTCGCTGCTCGATGCCTGTTTGGATCGCAGAGGATCACTGCGGGCGCGGGATTTTAGCCGAAACGAGGATTTCGTTCGATCGCAGCCGTTGGGATGATTTCTTGATTTAGAAGATAAATTCAAAATGCATATAAAGTCAAATGGCATTTAATCGGATTAAATATGGCTGAATCGGATTAATTTTGGTTAAGATCGGGTTAGGCTCAAGTCTGAATTTGGTTTGATTCGAACCAATTTGAGCTCGAAAATTTTGAATATAAATTATGCACATGGATATCATTCATGGGAGGGGGGAACATTAGTGGGTGATTGTATTCTAATCATTTACTAATCACATCATAAAACATGCTTACTTACTTGATTTATCATCTTTTGCAAGTGTAGGACACACGAGTATTTAGTTTAGGTCCTCCTATATCTAAGGACTTGGTGTGCTTACTATTTGCATACATTTTCGTTAATTAGGCACCGATAACTTTAGAAAATTTTAATAAATGTATTTCAACTCAAAAAATTTCACATGATACCTCAAAATATTTAGATTTTAATGCTTAACATTATATAATCATTAAGACATGTTAATTAGACTTTAATTTGAGCCTTAATTTAACTTTAATTAAGAATCACCTTTTTGCCTTAATTAAATAATTAAAAATCATTAAAAATTCTAAAATTTCTCCAAATACTAGGGAACCCTTCCTTATGTCTTTTCTAACTTGGGGGTGATTCCAATCAGTCTGAAGCTAATTTGGATCAAAACCCCTAAAATGTCCTTTTATTAAACAATTTTAATATTTCTTAAATTACCCAAAACTTTTAAAATTTATAACTTTGCCTAGAAAAGTTCAAATTCAGAAAACTCAAAGCCTAATTACTTCCCTTAAGGCCTGATATTTAACTAAAATATTAGAATACATAAACCTAGTCTATTTCTAATAGTGACCTTTTTAGACCCCCTTAGTCTAGCGTATAGGAGGACCCCGAACCTTCCAAAATTTGCTAATATAGCTTAAACTTCAAATATCATAATACTAAGCATTAAAAATGGATTGACAAACTAAATTAATTAAAATAAAACATAATTGTCTGGCTTAAATTAATATCATACTAGGCGGAGACTTGAAGATGAAATGCCTTGATTTTAAGACTTGCGTCAATCATTAGTATTATAATCCAAGATGTTGTCGGTGGGGCCTGACCACCATTACTTTTCTGCATACCCTGAGTTGTATTTATATGACACTTTCCATGGACTTTCCTACTTTTCTATATTGTGATTATTTATATTGTATGCGAATTAGAACTTACTTGCTTTTTATATGTTTCTTTCTTATATATGCTTGGCCTATTTTCACTAGGCTCCTTAGGATAAAAATATTTTTTACTCATAATTAATAATTAAAATTTCAATAATTAAATAATTTAGAAATTTAACGACCTAAGGAACTACCAAAATCATCCGGGATCGCATGGATATTAATGCATCTTTTCTCTCCTTCTAATAAGACACCTCCCTACCTGCAGGTAGAGTCCGAATAATTTGTCCTATAAGGATGAAGTGTCAAACCTGGGGAGGCACAGTCTTTTCTAAAAATAATTTTTATAAGTTTGTTTTTAAAATTTTAAGATTCATGATTTGGACCTTTTTAACCAACATGCATTGTATTATAAACTAACTGAATTAAAACTTTAATTGCATTAGCTCTAGGAGTATTCACCCTACATAATACATAAGTCCATAGCAATTAGGAAATTCTTTAGACATCAGCCATACTTCTAAAACACTAAACTACCTACCTATCTTTTATAAAGACTAGACATCATGGAGTTTAAGCGTTTAGGTGGTTAGCTGGCTTTTCTTTTCATGTAGGATATAAGCTCGGGTGCATTAGCTAAGACATGGGTGTTAGTGTTGGATATAATACTAAACCCATCTTAGATCTAGCATTCAAGGCTACTACATTCGGTGTCTCATAGTAGACCTAACCGGTGGGTAAGTTTTTTTCATCAGGGACTATAAAATCCTGCATATTCACGTCACATGGATGATGCCACTTCCATATTTTCCCTCCATATATTTTGAGTGTATAAGTTTCTCTCTCTTCTCAAATATCTTAGTCCCTCTGAATATTGAGATGAACTGTGCATGACGGCTAAGCCACTTAAGCCCTTTCTTTCTTTGTAAGTAAGAACTTCCTAGTTTTCCTTTGTGCGCCAATCCTTTGTCTAAGAAGAAGAATATAGGATCCTTAATCGAGAGTTTTCTTGGATCCTATGCTCGAGATGTAATTAACCACGGGGGCTTGCACCCATGGGAAATAAAACACGACCATCAAATAAACTCCACTCGAGCTGATGTATCGGGTGGGAAAAACTCGTTGGTATGATCAGGTCGTATATATTACTACCTATCAGGATGCACTGGCGAGAGCCGCTATCCTCAATGATTAGTCGTATGTGAGATCTAATCGACCCTTCCATTGGCCCGTTTGCGAGGAGTGCGGAGGCATGCGATCGTGTCTATACCTCGGGGTGGTGCAGTCGTAAATCCTATGCACTCTGCAGCCGACGGTGTCCTTTTGGAGGTCCACAAGTGTAATATCAAAATCTGCTCCAGGATCGTCCGGGCCGATCTGGATCGTCCCGGGACGATCAGTGCAATTTTTGTTCCAGATTATGTACAGAAGTTCCAGGAATGATTTCCTGTAGGGATCGTCCGGGCCGATCTGGGATCGTCCCGGGACGATCAGTGGATGGCACAAGTCAGAGAGCAAGGGGTTTTTGAAAATTAATTATCGAATTATCGTCCTGGATCGTCCTGCGAAATCGTCCCAGGACGATGTAAAATTGGTCTGATCGTCTAGGACGATCGTGCGATCGGCCAGGCCGATCTGAGTATTTTAAAGCTGAAATCATTCGTTTTAAAGAGAGAGAAAATCATAAAATATCTCAAATTTCAGCTGAGGAGAGAGAAGGTCGAGGGCAATTTTGGAAAAGTTGATTTTCGGGCGACGCCGGGCCTTTTTCGTCCGTCGTGACTGTTCAGGAAAGTGGTGTACGCAAGATAATGCACAATCCGCCTTTCTCAATTTTCAGAACCGTCGT